ATTTATGTTGCACGTTTAATTTTCAAGGCGGATTACCATTTGATAATATCGCATGTTTAATTTTCGAGTAGGTCGCCCTTAACAACAAGGTCATTGCACTCTGTTTTCATAATTCATTGCATTTCTACATGACATTTCGTCTCTAACTAAGTCATTTTAGTAGATTTTAATTTATTTTTCTCATATTTTCTTCTTTGCAAGCTCACTAAACAAACTCAACTTGAAATTTATGTTTCGGTTAATGTTTGCATCGTAAGCATTGCAAAGAGGGAGCAACTTGTCATACCCTAAAATTTTACCTTTTGTGTATTATTTTTGTGTTCTTTATTTTATTTTCATTATTTAAATTTAGGCTTGCTTTGTATAAAATCAAGACAAAAAATACATACATACATATATATATATATATATATATATAATTTTTCTTTTATTTATTTATTTATAATTCAGAACCAAATTACAAAAAAATAAAATAAAATACAAAAATACAAAATAAAACAAAAAATTTTCAACTTGCGGTGCCTGACTCCTCTCGAGTCAACAATTTCGGCACCCTACTGCACGCGACCACCCTACTGTCGCATATTCCAGCGAGTTGAATCACCATACAACCTCCACGAGTGCTTCCAACGAGCCTCATCTGCTTCGACCACACAACTCCCACGAGTCCCTCCGGACAACTTCCCCCATATCTAGCAATCTCCGGGGCAATCCCCCGATTCCTGCAACCTCACCATGCTGCAAATTGCAGCAATCGCACTACCTTCCCCTTACCGACCACCGCCATAGCCATCCCTTAGGACCAAAAAAATGGTCAAACACGCCCACTCTAGAAAACCACGAGAAAATCCCCCACCATCATAGTGGGGGAACCAACCAAGCCACATTCGGATATATATATATACATACGAGGCGACGACGAAAGAAAAAAAAAAAGGAGGAAAAAAGAAAAAAGACGGGGGAGGGGGATTTTTTTTCTTTAGTACGATATCCAAGAAAATTAAGAGTGAAGCACCGCAAAATTAGGAGAGAGTTAGCGATAAAAAAAAAGAGAGGCAAATCGACGAGTAAAGGAAAAAAGAGAGAAAATCAAAAAAACAAAAAAGGAAATTAAATTTACTGAATCGAAGGCGAGTCCTCATCCATTCCAACCAATTCTTTTAGGTAATCCCTCTAATTTCTCTTTAATTTCGTTTTTTGTTTCAATTTAAGTCCGATTTAAATTTGGGATTTTTTCGAAATTGTAAAAATTTGAAGAATAGATTTGGGGGTTTTGATAAAATTGAGTCCTAAAGGGTCGAATTAACTTGATTTCACTCTAATCAAAGCAATATCGCATGAAAATTTGAAGAATTGAAAAATTAGGGTTCGGTCGAATTGGAGAAAATTTTTAGAAATTGATTTGGGGGTTTTTGTTTGAGCGAGGGAAAGAAGGAAAGAAAGGGGAGAATAAAGAAAGAAAAGGGAAAATCAAGCTGCCATGGACGAACCTCCACTTGGTTCCTCCATGGCGAGCAGTAACATGTTACAAAAAAAAAAGAGAGACGGGAAAGGGAGAGAAAGGAGAAAGGGAAGGAAAAGAAAGAAGAGAGGGGTGCGGGAAAGGAGAAAGAGAAGAAAACGAAAAAAAAAAAAAAGGGGACGAACCCGGTTCGTCCATGGCGATCGGGTAGAGAGAAGGGAAGAAGAAGAAGAAAGAGAAACGGGAAAGAGAGAGGAGAAAAGGGAAATTGAAAAAAAAAAAAGAAAAAGGGGTTTTGTTTCGGATCGAAAAAAAGGTTTTTTTTTTTTTTTTGGTTTTAAATGTTGTGGGTTAGGTGGCCCAACCCACGGAGTTAATGGATTTGGACTGAAATTTCGATCCAGATCCGCAAATAAAAGAAAAAGAAGAGAAATTCGAGTCGGATGACCCAAAAAAAAAAAAAAAAAAAGAAAAAAGAAAAAAAAAGAGTAAGAAAAAAGAGTGAATTTTTTTGTTGGGATTTTGTTATTTCGTATTAAAATTAGCTATTGAATTGTTTTTATTATTTTAATTAATGTAATTTTTAATCTGGAATTTATTTTATGTATGCACTGTTACTAATTTAAATTTCGGTATTTGATTTCTTTTATTTAATTCATGTAGCTTTAATTTATTTGTTTATTAATTAGGTTTAGTAAGTAATAAGTAGAAGATTGTCAAGTCTCCTAAGTTTTAGGGATCGATGATAACCCTTCTTAAAAAGAAATAAATGAATAATAAAATATAATAATAAAATAAAAGAAAAAAAATAACAAAAAAAAATCACAAAACTTTTTAACAAAGTCTCCTATCCGATAGGGATCGTTGTTAGTCAAAAAAAAAAAAATTTTTTTTCTAATAAACAAGTGTTCTCCGGCACACCGGTTGTGTCGAGACTCAAAAAAGGTGGATCCGATGTTTGAACCGACGTGTCTCTCGATGAAAGGGGTCCGACGATCGTTTCAATACGATGCCACGCTCAAAAATAAAAAAACTTAATTTGACTTGAAAAATAGGAGTCTCAAGAACTGAAAAATAATTTGGCAAAAATAAAATACTTTAGGAGATAATTTAGGACTAAGCTACATGTGGTACCTTTCTTAGAAAAGGGCACTTTTGGGTGATTAATTATCTTCCCATAAGCGTAACCGACTCCTTACCATAGAATCTCCGAACCGAGTGCCAATTTTAGGTTCCTAGTTCCTTCAATACTAGGTGGCGACTCCAAACTCGCAAATAGTCTTAAAAATAAAATAAAGATCCGAAACTAGTGATATCACCGGATAGATTTTTTTTTTTTATGGGAGTCTCGTCCGACGTCGGGTAGCGACAAGAACCAAATATCAAACTTACTCCTATGGATGGCACTTCTCTTAATGACCCTACTCTTTATCGCTAGCTTGTTCGGAGTCTTGTCTATCTCACTCGTGACTCGACTCGACATTGCTTATGCTCGTGCATTTAGTTAGTCGGTTTATGGTCGCTCCTCGATCATCTCACTTTTCTCGCTATTCTTCGGATTATTCGTTATGTTAAAGGAACTATTTTTCATGGCTTGCATTTTTTGACTACTTCTTTTTTGGTTCTATCTCGGATTTTCCGATGTTGATTGGGCTGGTGATCCTACCGATCGACGTTCCACCACCGGTTCATCGTTTCTTTTTAGGTGATTCTCTTATTTCTTGACGTAGCAAAAAGCAATCGTTACGACTCGTTCTAGCACGGAGTCAAAATATCATGCTCTTACGGATGCAACATCGAACTACTTTGGCTTCGTCGTTTACTCGAAGATATGGGTCTTACTCACTCTTCCGCCACCACCATCCATTATGACAATCGTAGTGTTATTCAAATTGCTCATAATGATGTATTTCATGAGCGCACCAAACACATTGAGATCGATTGTCATTTTGTTCGTCATCATGTTACTCATGGTACTCTTCGTTTACTCTCTATATCCTCTTCCGCTCAAACTGCGGATATCCTCACCAAGACTCATCTTCCAGTGTCGTTTTCGAGAATTAGTATCCAAACTCAAGTTGGTAAATGCAAAACCACCTTGAGTTTGAGGGGGGGTGTTAGCGTAATTATAGCAATATGAATGGGCTATCAATATATTATACCATGGATCAAGGAGAATGGGTCGTCATAAATATAATGGGCTGTCATGAATATACGGTCACATAGATCAAGCCAACTCGATAAGCATTAGAGTGTATACATATTGTAATTCTTAGGATAAGAAGGCAACAACATAATATATATTTCTTTTCTTTTCATCTCTTTGTCCGTTTCTTTCTTTGTCTACAACTAACAATTTCTGTTTCTTTTTTTTTTTTTAACAAAAGCTCGTAAATGATTTCAAACCGATTTCTCGGTTTATGAGTTGATTTAGCAACCCCTTAGGAGAAAGATCTCACAAAGGGCTCGTCAATATCAACTCGCTATACTAACCCTAGGTTGGGCCAAGGACTATTAATAAAGCCCAACTTTGAACTTGAGATCATTTGTTAACCGGATGGTTTCCTTCAAACGATGTGGCACGATCATTCATATTGCTTAGACAATAAGAGTACTATATATATATATATATATATATATATATATATATATATATATATTGAAAATCATGCTTATGTCGTGGAGAGTTTTACAAAAAGATAATGTGACACCCGGCAAGATACAAGAATATTCATATTATTATATTATTTAAAGTTTTTAACACTAGATAGTTGAGCCATAATTATTTTCTCTCTATAGTAATAGAGATTATATTATAAATAAGGGTAAAAATCATTCTATAATTTTATACTATATAGTTCTGATCATTTTAATTTTTCTGTTCAGTTACGGTGTAAAATATATTTGTTCCAACCCTCCATCTAATTTCATTACCTCATCTTGTTATGTAATAAAATTAACGTGGTGACACATACCATCATTTATTTCCTTCCTTTTATGATAAATCACACAGGTATATACTTTATTTATTAATTGGATGTTTATATAATATGGAAAAAGAAAAAGTTGCCACAATTTTAATGAAGGAAAAAAATGAACGCACCATGAGTCGTAAGCCCTGTCTGTTGGTCCACACGACTGTGGACTGAGTGAATCACTGTATTTTTGGCCAAGTTACTACAGCAATTGAAGTCATAGGCTCCACACATGTCTCAACCATTCGCACAAACGCAAATTAACCTATTGCTAAGCTATTCTGTTTCCAGAGCTGCATTTCAGCAGAAACGGGTCCAGGGACCATCCTGGGTCCGTCAACAATTCAACCACTCCATCTCTTTATAAATCCTTCAATGTAAATATAACCAGCCGATGCGGGACATACAGCATAGTGAGCAAAAAAGTAGTTCCATATCTTTGCCATTTCTTTCCTTGGTAGTCCTTAAATATAAAGGAAATACATATGTCGTTGAGAGACGTTTCACTTTATAATCTACATTTGTTACAGTAATAAATCATAAAGCATATAAGACAGAAGCTGTCAAGAAGAAATGCATGCTTTTTCTTCATCATAGCTCACACATTTCTTCAACAAGCCATTTTCTAGAATGTTAGTAAAAATAGCTTGACGAACATAGCCAACATGATCAGTATCCTAAAAATGAATATAATGCAGAAAACAATCAGCATCAGTAGTATGAATACATAATGCTATAATAAAAGAACATTTGAAAAACTGCTCACGATTAGCACATTCTTTTGCTTGTTAAGGGTTACAAAACTCAAATACAAAGTGCAGTCAATGAACTTGGCAGTTGCTTTGTACCTCAACATTTCTAATGTCAATTTACGAAATAAACAAATTTTAGCTAGAAAGAAACAATGTCCACTCATAAGGCTTCACAATTTTCTACCTACCATCTTTATAAACAACAAAAACCGAGTTGTGACCCATCAACAACACAATCAAAATAAGACAACCCAAATAAGATTTCCATCTCATAATGCTAATGCTCTGACAAACCGCAATAATTAGCCACATTTTAGTGTTAATTTCTTAATCCAAATAAATCCCAATGCCAAAAATTATCACAAACCGAACTGTTAATTTTGATGATTTTAAATTGTCAAGTATTCCTAACAATCTTCACTCTAATAATCTAATCCAATTAATATAACAAAAATCCAAATCCTTCAAATTTCTAACTCTAATTCAAAAAACAAAATAAAACTCTGATGTCAAAACCAATCAAAACCACAAAAAATCAAAAATTTGGAAATAAAAGAGCCTTTTTTACTTGCGGACCTTGTTGCTCTTTCCAAATTGGTACATGCCATAAGAAAAGGCACCAAAAGCAATGAGACAGATGGCCATAGCACTAGACCCTTGTTGGGGATTCTATGAGCAAATCGAATAGGATCTTAACAGTAATTTTTTAAAAAGAGATAGAATAAGACTTTCATCTAACATCATGTTGGTTAATCCTGTTTTTCATATGATGGTGTCAATTGCTATTTCCTTATTTTGAGATGGCTGATCCGACACGATTGGTTTTTTGACTTCATAATTCATAAGGCTCAAGTAGGGAGCTACAGCTTGCACTTTGTCAACTTTGAAGGGTTTATTGTTGGGATCTATTAATTGAACTGCTCGAGAAATGACTCCTTTATTGGAGTTTCGAACACCTTTAGAGAGGTCTTGCCAGCCGTTCTCCAAGCTAATCACTAAGGGATTAGGGAAAAAAGATTTGTATGTTCCCTTTCGTTCAATACTATTGAGTATCATTTTCTCAATATATTTGAACCGTGTGGCCTCCGACACCATCTGGACTGAAAGTAGAAGAAGTTTGGCCTCAAGATTCTCCTTGATCTGTTGCTTCCCAAAGACAGAAAGGATGGCAAATTTTAGCTTTTCAATCCCTAGTTCAACTTTTTGTCGAGGATTATCTTTCCCTTCTATTCCTCCATAGCTACTTGGGTACTTAATAAGTAAGCGTTCTTTTGCATCTTTCCAAAGAGAATCCTTTGCAACCTCAGAAGCATCGGAAAAGACATGAGCTCGATATCTATCTTGATAAGCATCAAGATAACCCACCACATATACATTGTTGACATCTAGTGCAAGCGTGATAGATTTCTCCTTTGTAACATTCAGCCCAACTAATAGAAAGCGCTGCTCTGGATCTTTAGCCTTGGAAGGCTCAGGCAACATTGGTATGCCATAGTACTCTTTAGTGCCCTTCAGTTTATCCGCAAAGATGACACAAATGTTGTGTAGCTTGACTTGCTTGCAGTTTCAAGATTGAAATTCAATGTTTTGTAGCTAACTGGCACATTTGCTTTTTCTAACGTTGAAGAGCACACCCCCCACTGTGGTATAAAAATAAGACAGAACAAAATCCACAATGCTGCCATAGAAAAATATAACGAGAGATGAGAAACTGCTATTTTGACAACACAAGTTTGATCTCAAGTGTTTTTGTTGCAATGCATAACTCCAATCTGTCACCTTAATTTATAGTGGCTTTTTGTTCCAATTCTATCACAAGATTTCTTGTATGTTTGTTCTTCAAACCAAAATAGCTTAAAATTTTATCGTGGGTTTGTTGAAAATATGCCTTAAATATCACTTAATTTTATGGTTTTTTTTTGACAAAGTTGTATGAATTACAACATCTACGCATTTGCGGTTATTATCATAAATAGCTCCTGACATTCTTTTAGCATCCGCATTAAAAATGAATTAACCTCCATTCTCCTCCCCCTTCATTAAAAATTTTCGTTCAAAACAAGGTTAAGATGCCATTCTCCTCCATCCTCCTCTTTCCTAAACAAACTGTTAAATTATAATTTACAATGATCACTAGGATTTACAATTTCAAAGATTTGTGCTTCACAATCTAAAGGATTATCATTCAATGTGAGAACTTTCTCTCAAAAGTTTTAATTTATTCAATTCTTGAAGGGTACTTAAACAAGTAAATTTATTCAATCCTTAGATATGGATGTTTTGTCTTTAGATTAGTCATTAACTAATCAAACTGAGAGATTAAACCTTTTAAGATGACCATAACACTACAGACCTAGCCTATCCGATTGGAGAGGGATAGTATAGCTAGACTTAATCAAGTAAATTTAGGCTATGTTATTAATATTGGGACAAAGGCTTGACGGTATTTACACTCGATTGAGGGTAAGGTTTTCCTGGAATGCCAGTCGACTATGGAGTCTTTACAGCTGCCCTTCCACCTCACTCGCAGTTAATTTGTGCTTAGTAATTAAGAAAGATAGGCCTCTGATCCTATAGAGGTCATGGAATTGAAATAGACGTCATGCATTATAATTATAAGGAGAGGCAGTAATTTGGTGGTAAATTTGCTTAACACACAACATATCATTCAAACAAGAGTTTTATCGACTCAGGGATAATTTTACATATAATGTAAAGTTTTATTCTATTTCTGTATCTTCTTAATGCATAGTGGGGTCATTCTTCCAATGCTATCACAAGATTTCTTGTATGCTTGTTCTTCAAACCAAAATAGCTTGAATTTTTATCGTGGGTTTGTTGAAAATATGCCTTAAATATCACTTAATTTTTTTTTTTTTTTTTTTGACAAACTTATATTAATTACAACATCTACTCATTTGCGGTTATTATCATAAATAGCTACCCTCTCCCCTTCAAAATCGAACCATAAAATTCAAGAGAAAATTTCTAGCTTCTGAGAAAGGAAAATTAAAAGATTACTTGGTCAAGTGAAGAAGACATGGCAACCATTTACTATGAATAAGTTGGATCAACTCATGAGGGCATTGCAGAGTTCGTAGGTCATCCAGCTCATGTTGATTTTGGTGGCATCCACTTGCCTGGTTTGGAAAAGGTCATCCAGCCCATCGTTTCTCAGTTCTAAACTGTTGGCGTTGGGAGCTATAGGCATCTAACATTCTGCTGTTGTATTATTAAAATAAATACCATTCTGCGGAAATTTAAAGATGCTGAACCTTTTTTGATTTCGGAAAATAAATACCTGAAATTTCCAGTGGGAGAGTTTGGTAAAGATTTGATTTCGGCCTGTTTTCTGGTATTGTTAAATCGGAATTCGATAATATTCGGTGGTGTTGAACCTTTTTGCATTAGGTCATTGTGTTTTACTTTCTGCAAAAACTGCAAGTTCTTTCTTGTCAGGCACAAACATGGATCAAATTGAATTCACTAGAGCAAGTGTGTAAGATGCCTTAAAAGTAAAATGTTCCAGATTCTGGTCGCTTTCACTGATGGGAATTGGCTATTAGGCACTTCTTTGCAATTATGTTTCTGAACACAATCTTTGTTCGCAGTTAATTATGAAAGACAGGCCTCTGATCCTATAGAGATCATATAATTGAGATAAACGTCATGCATTATAATTATAAGGAGAGGCAGTAATTTGGTGGTAAATTTGCTTAATACATAACATACCATTCAAATAAGAGTTTTATTGACACAAGGATCATCTTCAACTTCTCTACGTCAATCAAGGTTAAACTCAACTGAAATTTCTAAATTGCAACCATAGAAAATTATTACATATCATGAAAAGTTTTATTCTATTTCTGTGTCCTCCTGACTTTGTCTTTGCTCCAATTAAAGGAAAGAAAGCACATGGTATGAATAGCTAAACTTGGTCAACATCTGTTTCAGCTTCCTCATCTTGCCTGCACACATTCTTGTCCTGGATTGAAACCAGGCTCTCCTTGTAAGCATAAACTCCTTCACACCATCTCCGTCCCTGAAATGCAAGATCCTTTATTTCTCTCCTTATAGGGTCACATAAGAATAGATTGTAATCAGCAAATTCCAGTAAAAGAATATTCTTCTTCCAATGACCAACTGTACGGGGAACTTTTGAAAAGGGACCCATAGTAATTTTTTTGGACCAACACCCCTCATTCATTGTCCATATATCAAAAACCTTCTCCATCTCATGAACAGTGAACAACGCAACAGAGTCGTGGTATACTGCAAGACTTTTTAAAGCTGGTTTCTCATAATCTGGTACCTGCATCTCTTGAAACTCATCACTAGCCATGTCAAAAGAAATGATCACTTCAGAATTTTCATCTTCTTCACATGATCCCAACCAGTAAGTAATTCCATTCACAAAAATGTAGCATCCATTGTTTTGTAAGTAATAACATTGTGTCAAATCTCCAAAGTATCTCCAAGAATGAGTACCTAATGAGTACACAAGGACTGACAAAGGATACCTGAAGTCCTTACCTCCTTCTTCATCACTGCTATATCCTTTAATAACAATCACCTTGTAATCTTTAGTTATTGGATCTAATCCAAATCCATAATTATCAAACCAAAAATAACTAAAATTAGATGGAAGATCAGGCTTAGTTATTAATGCAGGTAGAAATCTCAATTCATTGATTGCAGGATTCCACAAAGCACGATTATCATAGTCCCATAGATAATATATTCCATCACAAGGACCACAAATATGTGAATTTTTCACCGGCATAAAATCTAGTGATTCAGATGATAAAACTCTGGGTGTTTCATCTATCAACAACTCACGAAGTTCAAGTTCAGCTTGACTTACGTAACATTGAGTAAGGAGACAGTCACTGTCACTGTTGCTGTAGTAATTCTCCAGATGCTTGGATATGAATTTGGAACTTGTAATAATAGCATACCATAATTTGCAAACACTTTTGAATTGCAACAGAGTTTTCACAGGCAGCCAAGACAAAATCTCGATTATCACATCTTCACTCAAAAGATCTCCATTCTTGATTGCAATTACCATTGATTTCTCACGCTCCTTTTCACTTCTAAACATTTGAAGATAAAAACAAAAAAATCAGCTTCTGAGACTTTAAACCTAGGACGTAAAAAATGAAAAAGATGACAGCCCTAATACAAATATAAAAAAAATCTCACCTCTCTCTTAAAATGCGATTTAAGCCGTAATGGAAACTTGACCAAGTGTAGCGTTGCAAGGAAAGAGCCATTCCTGCACCCATCACAATCAGTGATATTCTTCAACAGTTATGTTCGGTAGGAGTAAGAAAACAACATCAATACACAGCACAAGGATAGCTAAAATATGAGTAAAATTAAAGTTTGAACAAGAAAAATAACAGCAGAGAGTGAGGAAACCTTCAATTGTAACCAAAGAAATTGATAAGCTTGAAACCAAGTTTTGCCAAACGCCCCAATTTATATCTACAAAATTTCTCCAAAGAAAAAAACACAATTTATTTGAGAAATATCAAATTAAAATGGATACCTGCAATTGGGAATTGGAAAGGAACAGGGTTGAACAAAATGGAAATGCCTCCTTCAGCCTATATAGCACCAGATTCTATAGCAAAGAAGTTGCGATGCCTCTTAAGTCTTAAATGCAAAGGAAACCCACAAACTTATGAATGGATTCCAGCTGCTGCTGATTTGGCACCGACCCCTGCTTGCTTGCTAAATTGGAAACAATAAATAAAAATGGAAAGGGAAATCCTATTAAATTCAATTGTCAAAAAAAAAAAAAAAAACTAATTTAATAATTTTTATAAAATATAGGGTGGGGGCAACAATTTTCAAAACTGAAAATAACATCATCCTTCTTTTTTCTTTTCTTTTTTCCTCCCTTCATCTTCTTTTCGAAGCGTATTTTGTTTTGTTTCATGCAAGCCCAGCATGAGTGATGCTAATGTTATGTTTTCAGCTGGAGTGTATTTTGTTTTTTGTTTTTAAATGTTTTACATTAAATTTTTAAACATAATTTATCTATTGTAAAATATTGTCAACTCATAAAATCTTATAAAATATTTTATAAACCGAAATTTATTCATAATACCATCAAATATTTCAACACCACCACGTCACCACAACCTTACCACCAGTGACACCACCGCTTTAAACATTGTCACGACTCCATTTCTACTTTCACTGCTACCACTACTCCTCCTTCCCATCCCATCTACACCCTAAATCACTATTACTACTTCATTACCATAACACATTATCATTCTACTGTTACCAAAGATTTAACCTCATTATTTACCAATTATCATAAATAAAAAATATTCGCATGCGAGAAGATATTTTAAATATTTTTTATTTATAAAATATTTTATGCAAAACAAAAAATCATCCTAATTAATGTTTGGAGTTACAATTTAATAATTTTTTTTAAATAAAATCAAAATATTTAGTAAATTAAAATAAATTTTTTCTATTTCACATTTAAATTATTTATTTAAATTTTAATAATTCTGAATTAAAATAGTTAATTTTCTATTTAAAAATTATACAAATTAATTATAATTTCATTAAAATAAAAATCTAGATAGTTAAATAAATTTTCATTCACATATAGACCCATTAAAAATAATAAGAATATTTTCATCTAGACTTAATTTTTTTTAATTTTCTCTTTCCTCTTTGTGTTTATCTCTCTATTATAAACAAGTATTGGTAGTTACTATTGGAGTAATATTAAATTTCTTGTATTTTGGTCTATCTAAATAATAAAATTAAATTATGAAATGAGATTAACAACTTCGAGTGAGAATAATATTTTTTTAAAAGGATAAAAAAAAAAAAAAAAAAAGCAAAGGTTGGGCTAACTTAACTTGTTTGGGCATATTTTGCTTCAAACAATCCCAACATGAGCAACACTAATGTTTAGGTTTTAAATCTATTAGGCTTTTTTCTTTCAAGATCATTAAATAACTTGAAATTTAAGAGGATTTTGTTTTGCATAAAATATGTTTTCTTGATTTTTTTCTATTTGTTTCTTGTAAAATATTTTATACAAAAATTAGCACTGATCAATTATTAAACTTAATTTTTCTATTTTTAAATAATTTCAACTCATAAAGTTTTATAAAATATTTTACAACAATAATTTACTAATAATAACATCCAAATATGGACTCCACCTTCACCACTACCATTATCCCCCATCTCCACACCAAAAAAAAAAAGAAAAAGAAAAAAAGAAATCACTGCTACCCTTAACCTTATCACTACTACTACATCATCATCATAACACATCATCATTCTATTATCGGGATAATTGCACTACAAATACATAATTTCTTTTCTTTTTTTTCTCAATCGAGTACACAAATTTCTTTTTAATAAACTAACTTTTTTAAATTATCAATAAAGTATTTTTGTCAATTTTTTTGTTCACTAATGATGTGCTTGTTACCCTCAAAATGCCAAATTATAATTTTATCTTTTTTTTCCCTCAATCGAGTATATCAGTTTTAATTTTTTTCGTTTAAGTATATCGGTGTTTTCAAAGCTGTAAATGGAAATTTTTTATCAATTTATTCGTGACATGCTTGGATATAAAATTATAATTTTACCCTCTTTTGTTGAAAGAAACTTTTTTCTCAAATTATTTTACCATTTTAAAATTTGACAAAGAATTAAAAATATATATTTTTTAGCTATAAAACCCTAAACTAAATTCACTTAAGTTGTTTTTTTTTTTGTTAAAAAAAAAAAACCCTTAATTAGGTTTATGAGTGAAAATTAAAGGAATACACAAATAAATTTTCTTGATAGAAAATTTCACGTTTGTTCTTCTTCAACTTTCACGCCTAAAATCTAAACCGAAACTTTCAATAGATAAGTCAAATTCAATAAGTTTCAATTAAGGATAAATAGTGAATCAAAACCTACTTGTAAAGTTTATAGAGATTTGGGATATGTACATCTAGGGAGTAAGGACTTATATACGCCATCTCGATTCTTCAAAAGCGATGATTGTCTTGTCACCTTGGGCGATTAGTGCCAAGTATAAAGATGCATTCTATACAACACAAGAACAATGATTTGAAGAAGAGAAAAATCTCTCTATTTAGTTTTAATTAAACAACAAAATTGTCTAAGTAATTACAAAAACAAGTTTAAATACCTAGGGTCTAGGGAACACACCAAAATGGCGAGCATATCGGTACATTTTATCACTACATTTTAGGAGATATATCCGACCAATAATACAAATACATAATTTCTTTTCTTTTTTTTTCTCAATCAAGTACACAAATTTCTTTTTAATAAACTAACTTTTTTAAATTATCAATAAAGTATTTTTGTCAATTTTGTTTGTTCACTAATGATGTGCTTGTTACCCTCAAAATGCCAAATTATAATTTTATCTTTTTTTTTCCTCAATCGAGTATATCGGCTTTAATTTTTTTCGTTTGAGTATATCGGTGTTTTCAAAGCTGTAAATGGAAATTTTTTATCAATTTATTCATTAGCTAATGACATGCTTGGATATAAAATTATAATTTTACCCTCTTTTGTTGAAAGAAACTTTTTTCTCAAATTATTTTACCATTTTAAAATTTGACAAAGAATTAAAAATATATATTTTTTAGCTATAAAACCCTAAACTAAATTCACTTAAGTTGTTGTTTTTTTTTAAAAAAAAAACCTTAATTAGGTTTATGAGTGAAAATTAAAGGTATACACAAATAAATTTTCTTGATAGAAAATTTCGCGTTTGTGTTTCTTCAACTTTCATGCCTAAAATCTAAACTGAAACTTTCAATAGATAAGTCAAATTCAATAAGTTTCAATTAAGGATAAATAGTGAATCAAAACTTACTTGTAAAGTTTATAGAGATTTGGGATATGTACATCTAGGGAGTTAGGACATATATACGCCATCTTGATTCTTCAAAAGCGATGATTGTGTTGTCACCTTGGGCGATTAGTGCCAAGTATAAAGATGCATTCTATACAACACAAGAACAATGATTTAAAGAAGAGAAAAATCTCTCTATTTAGTTTTAATTAAACAAACAAAATTGTCTAAATAATTACAAAAAGAAGTTTAAATACCTAGGGTCTAGGGAACACACCAAAATGGCAGCATATCAGTACATTTTATCACTACATTTTAGGAGATATATCCGACCAATAATATAAATCCTTTAACATAGTTAAATCAAATCCAAACAAGAAACTGACTTTGAGACGATGCTTAATAAGAAATCCTAAATACAAGAGAATCCTTTAGGAAAATAAGATACCTAATTATAGAAAATTAAATAAGAAAATAAATAATTAGTATAAATGGTGGCCTAAATATAATTGGTCCTCAATTATTTGAGTTCTTTAGATTTGATCCTCAAACAATTATTTACATTTTGAGTTTTCTCAAATTATTTTGGAAAAAAAAAAAAGGCTCATCTATTATCAATGTAGTAGAAATAATCTCTTGTATTTTCAATGTGAACTAAATTACAATTTGTCTTAAACAATTAAATAGTTTTTTCACCACTTCAATCATTATTATCAATTTTCTTTTCATTTATGTTAATATTATTACTCACTCCCATCATAATGACCTACCAAGTAGGAGTTTTTTTTTTTTTTCATAACAAGACACTTTTAAATCTTATTTATCATAATAAGGTAGTTTAAAACTTATTTATCAAAATAAGGTACTTTATGCCACATAGGAATCATCTCATTTATATAATTGACATGCCAGCTTTTCTCTTAAATTATTTTATTAAATAAATGCTTTATCATTACATGTTAATCTCTTATTTTTTACTATTTTTTCTTTGTATTGGTCTATTCTTCTCCTTCCTCTTCTTTTCTTATCTCACTCGAAGTTTTTTTTTTTTATCTATATCATTAATTTTCTCATTTGCTAAATCATCCCTTCTATTAATTTTGAGCAGTTCAAATACAACCACAAACAAATAGTAAATAGGAAGAGCAATACCATGGTTATTATTTTTCTCTTCCAATGCAACTCAACATCATAATCCTTGAAAGATGAAAATCTCCAAATTGGTTATTATTTAACCACCAAATAGAAAACTAACACCATAACAACCGGACATAAAAATCCATGGCCATAACCTCCACTTCTTCATCGTCGCTTCCAATCTCTCTCTCCACACCTTCCCATGAGCCATCCAATAAAACCCAAAAAAGTTTCCATTTTTAAAATCTCACCACCACTAAGCCCATCTCTTAAAACCCCATCAATTTGCTCTCACTTAAGCAAACTTTGTCAAGAAAAGCAACTCCATCTCGCACGCCAACTGTTTGACACACTTTCCACCCCAACAACTATCATTTGTAACTCTATCATAATTAGCTTAATTTGCAATAACTTGCCTTTTGAAGCCATTTTGTTCTATTCCAAGCTAAAAAGTTCCAGTCTTGGAACCAAATTTGATTCATATACTTACTCTTCTACATTAAAAGCTTGCATAAAAATGCACGAGTTTAAAGATTGGTAAAGCCATTCATTCTCATCTTATTCGATGTTTATCAAATCCTAGTAGAATTGTGTATAATTCCCTTTTGAATATGTATTCTACTTGTATAAGCAATGTGAGTTATTTTGATTACTCTAAGTGTGATTTAGTTCATAAAGTTTTCGATGCGATGAGAAAGAGAGATGTTGTTGCTTGGAATAATGTGGTTTCGTGGTATGTAAAGACAGAAAGACATGTAGAAGCAATTAATCTATTTAGGATGATGATAAAAACGAGGATAAAGCCGAGTCCGATCGGTTTTGTGAATGTTTTCCTGCTTTTTCGAGTGTAAGAGATTTTATGAATGTTGATGTTCTTTATGGGATGCTTGTTAAAATGGGTAGTGAATATGTGAATGACTTATTTGTTGTGAGTTCATCAATATTCATGTTTGCGGAGCTTAGACGTGTTGATTTTGCTAGGAAGGTTTTTGACCATTGTGTGGAGGAGAATACGGAAATCTAGAGCGCTATGATTGGTGGATATGTACGGAATAATTGTTTGGTTGAGGGTATTGATCTTTTTGTTCAAGTCGTGGAAACAAAACAAGCTGTTCTAGATGATATAACCTTTCTCTCAACATTAACGGTTGTCTCACAACTGCAATGTTTAGACTTGGCTCGAGCAGTTGTATGCCTTTTTAATTAAGAATCTAGTAGTATTATCGATGATTATACTAAATGCGATCATTCTCATGTACTCGAGGTGTAATTATGTCCACACATAATTTGAAGATTTTGAGAAGATGGTGGAAAGAGATGTTGTATCATGGAATATCGGGATTTTTGCTTTTGTACAAAATGGAATGGATGATGAAGGGTTGATGCTTGTATATGAGATGTAAAATCACGGGGTTGCAATTGATTCTATGACGAGTAATTGCTCTACTTTCTTCGGCATCTAATCTTAGAAACCAAGAAATTGGAAAGCGAGACACTAAAAAAAAAAAGGTATTGCATGTGGTTTTTTTCCTTTTAGAGGCGGTTTATCTTCTTATGCATGCATTACACTAAAAAAAGGTATTGTAGGTGGTTTTTTCCTTTTAGAGGCGGTTATAACCGCCTCTAGAGATCGTAGGGGTGGTCTTTCAAACCATCTCAAAACCGCTCGTAATGCCACCATCTCTACAATGTAGAGGTGGTTTTGCTAACCGCTGGAGAATTCCGAGGCGGTTTGTTGAGGCGGTTTAAACCACCCTAAATTTTTTTTAGGCGATTCTAACCGCCTCGATAATGCTAATTTTATCTTTATGGTTTTTTGGTGCATAATGTTTAAGTCGGTTTAGAACCACCTCTACATTTCTCGTACTTATGACGAATTAAAATTTATAAGGGTGGTTTATGAAATTTATAGAGGTGGTTATAACCACCTCAAATGTAGAATTCATAGAGTCGATTTTAGAATTCATAGAGACAATTGTTCAATTACCTTTAGCATTATAGTTTATTTCGAGCTTCAAATTCAATTATTTTCTTTTTTGGTAAAAAAAATAAAAATAAAAAAAGTTAATCTTGTTAAATGCAAATAAAAGAAAAATTATAGAACTTACAAAATATTCTTAAATTTGTAATTATCAAATTCTAAATACATAAAAAATAGTCAAACATTCATAAGTAAAAAAAAAAAAAAAACCCTAAAGGAATAAACACTTATTAGAAATACATAAGCAAAATTCTAAATATATTTTAAAATAAGTGGCTAATGTTTACAAAACATATAGAAATGTTTCATTTCGAGAGATGACTTGATTGTGATGAATGATTAGGAGAGAGAGCAATTTGACCATACCATCATAGCAAACCTATCAAAAACATAATTTGAAAGTGAAAAAAAAAATATAAATACGGATAAAAACTCACTAAAAATATTTTAAGATCAAGAAACATGTTACATATTTAATTAAAAATATATAATACCCGAGCGAGGCTTCAACAAAGTTGGCCAATTAGTTTTGTAGGCTATACTAACGAGTACGGAAGAATGGTAAAGAGGATAAGATTATAGTAGTCCGAGTTGGCCAAGGGGTCTCAAAGTAAGCTTTCTTAAACCCCGTCCATCCAACATGTCAATTATTCCTATAATACATATTAACATCCTCAAAGACATCTAATAGGTAGCAAACCCCGAGTCCACAAAGGAAGCATTGCAATAGATCGGTATAAATTCATTCAAAGTCCTAGTAGACAAAGTTGCTACTCGCTATAAATGTAGTAGGTGCTCTTCAAATTAATTCATAAAGTAGAAGTAGAAGAAAAATAGGCATGGTGAATCATAAAAAAAATGGAAGTAGAAGAAAAATTGCATAGATTAAATTCTATAGTCCCTGTTTTGTTCAAGTCACCAAAATGAGTTTTCTTACTATTTAGCTTAGTGTAATGCCTGAATTTTTGTTAGGAAAGCTACCGTGAACTATCTAACTCTATATTAAAACTTAAAAGTTAGAAGCAGGATTAGTAACCTAAACTAAATATATCTAAGTATAGAATAATAGGAACCTAAACTTAAATCATATCTAAGTATATCTAAGTATAGAATCACAAGAATCTAAACTTAAATCATATCTAAGTATATCTAAGTATAGAATCATAGGAACCTAAACTAAGTATATCTAAGTTCAATTCATTTGCATACAATTTTTTTGTCACTCGCTTGCAAACTCGGTTATAACCTAGCATTTCAAATTTCTAATAAGCGAGTCCATTTCAATTTTAATACTTAGCAAAATACATAAGGACAATCAAACTCGTTTCATGCAAATCCCGAAATAACTCAAAACTCATTTTTTCAAAATAACTCATGAATACTTCAATTAGTATACAAGACTAGATTAAGTTAGAAGTGAGGTGATTACTTACTCATTAGTTCCCTCCCTAAAAGAAAAAGTTATTTTGAGATTTCCCTCAAGTGATATGTTGCTAAAAACAAATAAGAAAACTTTTATCATTAAACACTTGAATTTTTGGAGACAATATATCAATTAAGACACAAAGCTCTAAGCAACTTAGAGTAGTCAAGACAAGTTTAGTACAATAATGCAATAAACTAATCTTAACCAATTAAGCGAGTGGAATTTAGTAAGGTTGTAAAGTTTTAACATCTCAATACACAGAAACCAAGAACTAATCTTAAGATATGAATAACTCACGGGTATCTAGCATCCCTAAACTTTCTAATGTATTGGACTTGTTGCCTTGTAATTACTACATGTAGATCACATATGAAATTCCAAATCATATGTATGTGTACTGAACATATGAAAATATGACAAAAAATCTATAACTCAATGTGCCCAAAACAAGTAAAGATCATAATTAAGATTGTTTATAAACTTTAAGTTTCATTCCAATCAACATAATCAAAATATTATGTTTATATACATATCTTATATCTATCAATAGAGAAATTGAGAAATATACCACAACTATAGCATGGGGGTGTGAGAATCCAATGCCAAGTTTCTCTAGTATCCGATGTTCCACACCCTTTCTATTTATAAAGCATCAAATAAAGACAATGAACACCAACTTCGAATTCAACCATAAGTCGAGAGCAAAACACAAATATAGATGAATAAGAGGAAACATTTTGTGTTTAAATCTTGTGAACATATCCGATACAAGCAAAGAAAAGATGCTTCTAGTTCAACTTTCAATATTATATGCACTAAATGCTCAATAAACTCACATTGTGGATGCTCGCTACCCGACGTCGGACGGGACTCCTCAAAAATATCTAAAATTAGGCTGAATATTTATAAATTTATTTACAAAGTTTGGAGTCGCCACCTAGTATTGAAGGAACTAAGAACCTAAAATGGACACTCGGTTTAGAGATTCTATGGCAAGGAGTTGGTTATGCTTTTGGGAAGATATTGATCACCCAAAAGTGACCTTTTCAAAAAAAAAAGTACCACATCCGGTTTAGCTTTAAATTTATCTCCTAAAATATTTTATTTACGTCAAATTATTTTATGATTCTTAATCTCCCTTTTTTTTAGACAAATTGAACTTTTTAGTTTTGAGCGTGGCATCATATTGAAACAATCGTCGATCCCCTTCGTTGGGCGACACGTCGATTCAAACATCGGATTCACCTTAAGCCTTAACACAACCAATGTGTCGAAGGATATCTTGATTCAAACAATGATTTTTTGGTGACGCCGGTCCCAATCGGATAGGAGACTACGTCGAGAATTTTAGATTTTTGGTAACGTCGGTCCCTATTAGATAGGAGACTTCGTCAATATATATATATATATTTAAAGAAAAATTTAAAATTTTAATTAACTAAAATCAATTGAAAAAAATTTTAAAAAATTAAATATATCAAAATCACCTTCCGTCCCTAATAAATAGGAGACTCATTGATACAATATTTTAATCCAAAAAAAGAAAAGAAAAAATCTCATGTTAAAATAAATTTCACAACTATATATCTTCAAATTTTCTAACATACATATGTAAAATAAAAAAAAACTACAAAACACATAAAATAAATCAAACGAGTCCAAAATTCACCTATATTGTAAAATTACCAAAATGCCCATGGAATGTCAAAAGTCACCGCCAAGTGACCGTTCGCCTTTTGATGACCGTTTAGGAACGTGGACCACCCGGCCTTATAGATCGGATCGTTGTGAGTCGAATGGTGGTGTTATCGACCGGAGACGACGTCGGAGGAGGGAGATCGGAGCCTTCAAAGGTTCGGCCAAATCTTCCTTCTTCATCGACTATGAATCGGACCTCTTCTCGGGATTCCAAGACCACCGGTCGACTCGTAAGGTCGAGAGAAGAAGTTCTATGGTGGTTAGGACCTCCAATTCTTCCTATATCGGCTAATTTTTTAGGTTTATCAAAACGGGTCTCTTTCAATGAAATTGTTTTTTGGTGTCGTTGGGTCAAGATTTTTGAATGGAAGCACTCGGGAGGGATGGGCGATCGGTTCCGTAGTTGTGGTTCTTGTGTTGGTGATCGAAGTTGAGAGAAATGACCGGATATTTATTCGGGTCGGGTCATGATGGTTTGATCTTCGATTTCTCTCTCCTATATGATTGTTTCTATCTCCAACCGATGTTGATGGACCGATCTAGTGATGGGCTACACGAGGGTGTGTTGATCGGGGTCAAAATCGGATCGAAAAATGATCAATTGAGGCTCAAAAGTTTCGATCGGGTAAATAGGTAACCGAGTCTAGTTTGATAGGTTAGGGCGTGTTTAGCTATTTTCAATTAGGTTTTCGGTATTTTTTTTCTAGCTATGTTTTTTTTTCTTCTCTTTTTTTCGTTGTTTTTTTTCCTCACCCTAGGCGAATTGGAATTCGAAATCTTTTTATAGGCCGAAACCTCCTAAATTTCTCCTAAAATCAATTCAAATTTTAATTGTCAAATCTTAATTTTGAGATTTGATTAGCTAAAAATAAGGAGCTTCCAATTTAAAAAGATTTGTGAAAGATTTCAACAGATTTTT